AGAGCACCCGCCAACCACCCAGAGTAAGAGTTTTACGGCGCTTGCAACATAATAACGCCATATAAGTGCAGAAAATTAGATGTATTACAAGACAGTAACGAGCCCCCCAAAAAAACAAGGAGAAGAGATAAGAATGGTTGATGCTTGACAGAAAAGAAGGAGAAAACGACACCAGAGCACCTGCCGAACAGGTAGTAGGGAGGGATGGGAGAGAGGGGGAAGGGGAAGGTAGTGGTGAAGAAGACCACCTGTAACAACAAAAGTCCACGTATTGTCAGTCAAAATGAGTTACTTCTCGGATTCAAGCCTTTAGACAACAGATAGTCACGCTTTTAGGTGAAGAGTTTACAATTTATAAGTCGTCGCCAGAGTCAAAAACTTCTGCCCGGAACACCCGCATACGTTGAACCTGAACCTGAAGTCTTTGGACAAAAAAAAACCACCAAAAAAAAACGATTGACCTTCCGCCCAGAGCGGCCAGCAGATGACGTAAGCTTCAGGCTGTTACCTGTGATCACGTGACCCAGAGACAGATAACCAGCTGCTCTCTGACACACACACACACACACACACACACACACACACACACACACACACACACAAGCTTTTTGTGACGTCACAGAATTGAATAAACATGCTAGACCTTGATTCTTACAACACACAAGGTTCACTTTATCTATAATATTATGTGAGACGAGCTGACAAAAAATGAGTTACTTCTCGCAATCTACAAAAGAAGATATTGGCCAAAAATCGACTTTAGGGTCAAATTTGTAGGTTTTATATTGATTTGATGCCATATTCTTTAACTACAAACTGTCTTTTATTATTTCATACTTACAAATTGTAAGTAATTCACCTATAATAGTGATATATCTATTTTCTAAAGGCTTGGATCCGAGAAGTAACTCATTTTGTCAGCACGTTTCACATATTTCCCTATTTTTATGTCTGACAGACACAACAACAAGACAGACCCACCATAGCACAGATTTCCCTATCTGTATTCTCGACTCTCTACAACGACTGAATTGACCAACCTGGCTCATAATATTTTCTATCGATATTTTCGAGTGTTCCCAGCACTGACCCACCTACCTTAGCGTCCAGCAGAAGTGACCAGCACGGCCTGATGAAGTAATCGATGACCCACCTTAACAAAATATTATTTCTCTATCTGTATTCTTGAGTCTCTATAACAACAGCACTGACCCACTTTAGCACATATTATTTCCCTATTCTGTATTCTCGAGTCTCTATAAGGACAACACTAATCCACCATAGCACAGATTTCCCTATCTGTATTTTCGAGTCTCTACAACGACTGAATTGACCAACCTAGCACATAATAGTTCCTATCGATATTTTCGAGTGTTTCCAGAACTGACCAATCCACCTTAGCGTCAAGCAGAAGTGACCATCACGCCGGATGAAGTAATCGATGACCCACCTTAGCACAATAATATTTCCCTATCTGTATGTCTGAGTCTATAACACAGCACTGACACACCTTAGCACATATTACGTATCATTTCCCTATCAGTATTTTCGAGTCTCTGTAACGACAAGAGTGACAAACCATAGTACATATTTCCTTACCTTTTTGTCTGAGTCAATAACAACAGCACAGACCCACCTTAATACAGTATACAATGTATTTCCCTGTCTGTATTCTCGACTCTTTACAACGACTGAATTGACCAACCTGACACATAATATTTCCTATCGATATTTTCGAGTGTTTCCAGCGCTGACCCATCCACCTTAGCACATCTTTCCCTACCTTTATGTCTGAGTTTATAACGGCAAGACAGACCCACCTTAGCGTCCAGCAGAAGTGACCAGCGCGGCCTGATGAAGTAGTCGATGCCGTCCTCTGACCCCGGTAAGGTCACGCCCCGGATCAGAAGGATGAGCAACACCAGGTAGGGGAAAGTAGCAGTGAAGTACACCACCTGAAACAACAAACGTCTAAATGTGAATCGTGCTGACAAAATGAGTTACTTGGATTTACTTGGATCCAGAGCTAGAATCATAGCAGGCGGCACATGTCCATAGCTGCTCATCTCTCCTTTCCAGCGTCCACCTCAGGGTCTTCCTGCTAATTGTCTCCATGAGGAGCTGGTTTGAGACACGCCTGACCACTCCTCGGAGCAAACTTTTTTTCGCTGACAAAATGAGTTACTTCTAGGATTCAAGCCTTTAGAAAATAGATACATCACGCTTATAGGTGGAATTGTTACAATTTGTAAATATGAAATAATAAAAGACAGGTTATAGTTAAAGAATATGGCATCAAATCAAAATAAAATACAAAGGGGAGCGGGGAGGCGGGAGCGGGGAAGCGGGAGCGAGGAGGCGGGAGGAGGGAGTTGATGGGACGACGGAGGGGGGAGGGGGGAGAGAAAAGGGAAAGGAGGAGGGCAGGAGAGCAGAAGGGAGGGGAAGGAGAGGAGGGTTTGAGAGAGGAGGTGAGGAGGGGAAGGAGGGAAGAAATAGCTGTGTTATATTTATGAAAACTTGACTTTCCTGTTTCATTTTTTGGGGTCTTTTTAAACAACATTTAAACAAATAAATATTGCCATTAAGAGACAGCCCGTGAAGTGGATTTTGTTCGTGCAAACTTGGCCTCTTTCCTTCCTTTGCAGTCTTTATAAAGAACAACAACAGCAAAAGTAAATCTTGCAGTTACTAGACAGCCGGTGAAGTACACACATTGTCAATGCCACACACACACTGCCACACACACACTGCCACACACACACTGCCACACATACACTGCCACACACACACTGCCACACACACACTGCCACACACACACTGCCACACACACACTGCCACACACACACTGCCACACATACACTGCCACACACACACTGCCACACACACACTGCCACACATACACTGCCACACACACACTGCCACACACACACTGCCACACATACACTGCCACACACACACTGCCACACACACACTGCCACACACACACTGCCACACACACACTGCCACACACACACTGCCACACACACACTGCCACACACACACTGCCACACACACACTGCCACACACACACTGCCACACACACACTGCCACACACACACTGCCACACACACACTGCCACACACACACTGCCACACACACACTGCCACACACACACTGCCACTGCCAGCACGGACTCAACAAGATAGGTGGTGCAATCTACACCCACGCTAGCTGTAACGACCGACAGAAACAAAATCCTGACAGTTTTTTAGAGCCTTGTAATTACCAAGAAAAAAATCAAAGAGGGATTCTCCCAGGAACAGGAATCCGATACCTTCAGATTTCCATCAAACAAGTCCAGTTATAACTGCACTCGTTTCTGTTTTTTGTTTCAGTAAGAGTTTAACGGCACTTGCAACACAATAAGGTCATATAAGTGCCGAAGATTAGAGGTGTTACAAGAGAGTAACAAACACAAAAAAGAAGGAGAGATAAGGACGATAGACGTTTGATAGGAAAGAAGGAGCAGACCCCACCAGAGCACCCGCCAACCACCCACTAACTACACTCAGCCCAGGCTGTCCTACACATTCAGGGTCAATGCAATCTGCCTCCAAAACGATCCCATTTTCGCCAGTGTACACCCACACATTCAGGATCGAATCAGTCCCGTCTCCAAATGATGAAACCGACACAAAGCATGTACATCGTTTACAACCAAACCGTTTACAGAGTCACAGAGAATTTAGTTTTAGTAGAGGCTTTACGACGCTCGCAACTTGAAAAAGATCATATGAGCGCCAGAAGATTAGAGGTGTTACAAGAGAGTAACAAACATAAAAAAGAAGAGATAAGGACGATAGATGTTTGATAGGAAAGAAGAAGCAAACCACACCAGAGCACCCGCCAACCGCCCACTCACAGAGAATGATAGACAGAAAAGTGGGAATACTATCAAGAAGTCAGCCCAGGATAGGGAAAGGTGGAAAGTGTTTGTTCATGGCCTATATCCTGGTGCAGGGTGAGAAACGCAGTGATGATGATGATGATGATGATGATGATGATGATGATGATGATGATGATGATGATGAAGATGATGATGAAGATGAAATTGAAGACGATGATGACGACGACAACGACGACGACGATGAAGAAGAAGAACTTACCTTTCCGGTAGACTTTGGACCCTTCCAGATGCAGAAGTAGACGACGACCCAACATAACAGCAGGATGAGCAGAAGCTGCCAGCGGAAGGCGCCTTGTTCGTCGATGCCGCTTGATCGTTCCAGAACATTCTCTCTGGGGAAAGGAAGAAACGTGAAAAAATCAGAGAACGTGCCATAAACGGGACACATGAGGAGAGGAGAAATAAACGGGACACATGAGTGTCATAAACGGGACACATGAGTGTCATAAACGGGACACATGAGTGTCATAAACGGGACACATGAGTGTCATA